TCTTGTGTTGTGCGCTCCTCATTCCCATACTTTTCTGTAACCGGAAAATGCAACCCTGAAATTTCCCCACTGTGGGACAAAGAAAGAATCTTAGACAAAAACAGTGCAAAGATACACAAGACCCTCGCCAGCGCTATGATCAATGTTCCATTTACTTTCCGCAGATGATGGCAGTGGACAGCGTGCATTTTTGTGCATGTAACTCTAGCTCTGGTGTGTGTCAGATGAATTTGGATGCTGAGCTGAACAGAACTGGAAGACGTTGTGGGAGGTCACTCAGCGGCGATGCGTACGTGCAGACCCAGCTCTCCACAGTGTCGGCCCGAACGCTCTCTGTTTTCATTTTGAGGAGTCTGAGTACGGAGGTTGAGAGGTTGCGGGGGTTATGTGCGTCCAACGATGAGAACGGACTCTTTCAGATGTTTTGGGAAATGCTTATGGAAACGGGAGGAGGATGAGGAGGAGGGGGTGGTCCTTGTGGTGTGGAGTAATTGCAGCAATAGTACAGAATGTCTCAAGCTTGCTCTGTGGTCAAGCTGCAAATGCATATCTGCTCCTGAGTCTGCATGACCACAAGCACGCAGGTGGAACGCTTACCCAGGCAGATTTCCCGGGAGACTGAAGGCCACTGATAAAAAGAGAACTTGTGAGGCAAGCTAGCAAACCTCTGAGTACACTGGAAGTTACTGTAAAGTCCACGGCATAGGGATGTGATTTAAAGTTCCAACATCCAGCCTTAAAACTCTCATGAGGAGCCATGGAAAAGACCAATTACTATGACAGCAACCAACAAACACAGGTGGCTTATGTCAGAACAGGTCACAACTGACGCCTGGGAAAACCTCAGTGTGTTTGTGTGCATTCATAACTCACCAGGGCCTTCTGTTGAGAATTCTGTGTTTATTGTTACAGCCTGTATTAGCGATGATGTCAGTTGAAGAAACGGACCGTTTTTTCTATTTATTGTGTTTCGATTACAGCTGCGTGTGAAAAAGGATGCACCCAGAGAGAGTTTTAATTCCTTTTATTTTGTCTGTTTCACTCATTGCTCCAGTGCAAAAAATATATCAGAATCAGAATCCTTCTATTGCCCTGTGATAAACAGGAAGTCACAAGCTAGGAAATTGCTCTCGGTGCAAATATAAGGAAATACATGCTTGAATTAATTAATTTTTGTCTTACTTTTGAGTACATCTGACTGTCTTAAAACAAGATTTTCTCGTGGGACAAGCCATTTAATCTATTTCTTAAAAAACAAGATCGTTTAGCTTTTTCCAATTGACAAATATGCTCAAATTAAGACATATTTTAACTTATTTTGTATAACATTTTGCAGTGTAGTGTCTGTGTGAAGCCATATATTGTCAAATAATTATATTTTCTGTTTTCAAATTGTAATGACAACAGAGACTTCTCTTCTTACCCGGGTCAGAAGTTTCCATCCCCCAGTTCTTAATGCCTGTGTTGTCCCTTTAACATGTCTGACAGCTTTTGTGGTAGTTATGGATGAGGTTCTTTATCCTTTCTGATGGTAAAGCTGCCCATTCTTGTTGTCAAAAAGCCTCCAGTTCTTGTAGGTTCCTTTGCATTTGACCCATCTTTCATCACAGCTAGGGCCTCTGTCAGGAGCAGTGGCGAGGACCAATCCCCAGATATTGGCGCTTGCCTTAGTCAGCACCAGAGCTGGAGGATTTTGCACATGTTTTACACAGACACGGGGAGAACATGCAAACTCTGTTCGGACCAAGATTCGAGCCTGGGACCTTCTTGTTGAGAAGCGAGAGTGCTAACCAGCCTCGTGCCTCTCGGCCAATTCCTGGGCCACCTTGCATTCATCATCTCCAAAATATAACCACTACAATTTCATTTATGACACAGCTGCTTCTCTGTCACAGCTATATCCAGACTGAGACACCTGCTCAGCATCTGCTCAAAGATCGTGGGGCAGTCTCTGGATGGACTCTACACAACCGTGCATCATAAAAGCACTCTGTGGCTGGCAAAAAACATCATATCTGACCCCAGCCATGTTCTGAACTCTATCTATCTATCTATGGCTGGTTATGTACATTTTGAAGCACACCTGTACATATGTGACATCAGTGAGAAGCGCAGAGGAGGGTGTTTAAAGTTATATGAGCTGAGCCGGTGCTCTCTGAGCTCCCAGCATGCATGGCTGCTAACCAACATGAATCTTTGAACAAAAGCAAAACCCAGACACCATGGGCTATTATTATCTGTTTAACCCCTCTGACCTGCCCCGGCTTCCAACAGTCCGTCTGCTTCCACTAACACATCATTTCACACAATGATATACATTTTTATTACATTACTGGTTTGGTCACATGATTCACATACGTACATTATTTACACATTGATGTTTTTTATGCTTTTTTTTGTTTTTGGCAAATGGAGTTTTATAGTAGTAGTGCTGTTGCCTTGTTATCAATGTTGAAAGGTGTGGGTTGTGATTATCTGTTTATTAAATAGCAAGCATCAAATTGACGACAAAACAATTAATAATAAAGCATAAAACTTCAGAACGGATGCATCTAATTTTCAAAAACAAAGGGAACTATAAAATCCTTCTGTGTTACTGTTTATACATGCACATATTTTTTCATATCGGGCAGCACAGCACTCTCGCTTCTCAGCAAGATGGTCCTGGGTTTGAATCCCAGTCAGAACAGGGCCTTTACACAGTGGAGTTTACATGTTCTCCCCGTGCGTGCGTAGGTTTTCTCCGGGTACTCAGGTTTCTCCTACCACTAAAAACCTGTACAACAGGTCTGAATGTATTGAATGGAGGCTTTGATGCGCCAGTGTGTTTGGGGTCTCGCTTCCGTCATCAGCGTGTGTGAACGAAGAAAATATATCTGAAATGAAATGAAGAACAAATATTGTCAAAGGATCCGTTCTCATCCAGGAAGCTCGAGGGGTCAAAGATGTGAGACTCTTTCCACTACAAACAGTCATGATTGATGGACCACTGGTGGATGAAGACCACCGTGTCTTTGGGGATGGTCCAGCCTTCGACGGTGACCTCTGAGGCGGTGGAGTGTCCAGATCGGCCCACCTCCTGATCCACCAGTTCTAGACATGAGGGGGCAGCTATAAATTACTTGCACCAGTACTTTATAATGGCTTTATTACGCTAAAGATAGAGATGTTATACTTGTGTCTTTTTGATCCTAGAGTAAGAGATTTTATTTTATGTTCTTTAGTGTAGAATTGTTGTTCATTTATCTTGTGCTGTGTGCTCCTCATTACTACTGTTCTGTGATGCAACACTAAAATTTCCCCACTGTGGGACAAATAAAGGCTCTCTTAATCTTAACCAGTCCATTTCTTTTGTTCTCCTCTACTCTGAATGAAAGCTGGCTGGATCCGTCCACTTGATTCTCTGCTGAGGCTGCTGCTCTTCGGTGCCCATACTCACTGTCCATTTTCTTGATTTTTGACTTTCAAAATGAGCGTAGAGTTAAGCTTCATTAACAAAGTCCTAATGAGATCCTTTTGAAGTCTAGTGCGAATGATGGACATGGTTGTTGTGATTATGTGATGTTTCAGTGCTCCTCAAAGCTATGGGCACTTTGTTTATACAGATCTCCAATGTGGGATGGATCACTGCAGTTTTTTAGCCCTAAATCACAATAACAGTTGTCTCGGAGAACATTATAAAGTTGTCAAATTTGCCAATAACACATCAGAGAATGAAGCCGTTAAAACACAGGATATGCAATTATACTTAATATCAAACACATAGGAGCCATAGGTCCATAAGGAGTCAGTGTTAATACATTTTAATAAATGTCCCAGATCATCGCGGTCCAGAGACCCTCCTGCATCGGCGAGGAACCAGTCAAAAACCAGGTGGGAATAATGTGAGAAACCTTGTGACCATATTGAGAGAGGGATCCGCTCACACAGACGGAACTGAACTGCATTTATGAAAGCACACATTTTTATTACTATTAATTGGAATATGGAAAGAAATTTGTTTAGAATATTGTTTTTGAATAATTGATCAACAGCCTTACAATGTCCATGGGTTGTGTATTGCTGTTTTTTTCTTCTTCCACCGATACAGATTATAAAAGTATAATATCGTTTTTTATCCAACAAATCTATAGTCCTTGTTTTGTGCGGTGCTATTATTTCATATGCATTAGCCCATATGATACCCCCATCACACACACACACACACACACACACACACACACACACACACACACACACACACGCACACACACACACACACACACACACGCACATTGAAGAAAATGTCTTTATTATTGTTTTTTTCAGATATAGCTTATTTTTCACTTGAATACTAATAATAACATAATCTTCTGTTGAAGGCACAAAACAAACAAAGCACATTTATCAGTGTAATCTCACTCCTGTTGAGAATATGATATAGCTTTAAAATTACAAATTGTAAACATCCCACAGCTTCCAGACTGAACTGTGAGTACAAAAATAAAAAAACAAATATCTCTCACCAACTTACAAGGACACGGCCGTCTCCTCAGTATAATCATAGAGACGGCGCTATACTTCCGGTACAGTAGATACATAGCATTTTGTTGTAAATAAACCTGAACATCAAAAGAGTTTCATGTAAAGTTAATAATGTGACAAAGGTTAAAACATTTCAATTCAGGACATTTAAGTACATTATATTCAATTGTAAATATCTATATATAGAAACATCACAACAAACCTCAGACATTTTAGTGGTGATTTAGATTTCACTGTTATTCATTAGTTAAATAAAACAAACTGTGGTGATACATCAACAGATTATGATCAAGGAATGAGTTGATTTTAATGAATAAATTGAATAGTTACTGACGTCTACAATTGTTTAAAACTTGATATGATCGTTCAAACGTACAAAGTCTATTCATCGGAATATCACATTTACCGCTGTATGCTATAGTGCAGACATTTCCATATGCGTTGGTGCTAACAGTCACAGTATGTGAGCAGGCCGTTCATGCCGGGGACACTAAGCCCAGCAGCTTTCCTCTCAGCTTGGCTCGGAGACAGAAGTGGAGAGGCTTCAGCGTCAGCCCGTATGAGCAGTCCAGAGAGACCCCCACTGAAGGGTTGCTCTCAAAGCAGCACTGATGCAGCAGGATGGCTGTGAATAAAAAGATCTCCACTTTGGCGATCTGGTCTCCAATGCAGCGTCTTTTACCTGTGGAGAAGATCATGACGCTGTTGGCCAGGTCCCTGTCCAGTGCTCCGGTCTCATCCAGGAAACGTGTGGGGTCAAAAATCTGAGGGTCAGACCACTTGAGAGGGTCGTGGTTTACTGACCACTGGTTGATGAAGACCACGGTGTCTTTGGGAATGTGCAGGCCTTCGATAGAGACGTCTGCTGTGGTGGAGTGAGGGATTGTAACGGGGACAAAGCTGGTGAAGCGCATGACCTCATAGATGAAAGCATCCAGGTAAGGCATGCTGTGCTTGTCCTCCATGGTCGGGAGTCGGTCTGGACCCACCACTTTGTCTATGACGGAGTGTAGTTCGGCCTGCATGTCTGGGTGCTTGACAAGGAGGAGGATGATCCACTGCATGGCTGTGGCCACAGTGTCTTGACCTGCTCCAATCAGATCAGTCACTGTTGCCTCCACAAACTCTTTGCTCAGTCCATTGTCCTTTCCACACTCAATCACATTTATAATTGCATCACTTATGTCCCGGGTCACCTCTGGGTCAAAAGTCTCTCTGTGTTGCCCAACTTTATCTTTCACAAACGAGAAGAACTCTTCATTCAGACTTTTGAAGTTTTCATAGAGACTGCGCACAGGGTTTGGGAACGACTGGAGCCACGGCATGACGTCCACCAAGCTGCCGGCTCCAACTGTCTCTCCAAACTTATTCACTCTCTTCAACAGAGTCCTGAACTCCAGGTCCTCATGACCATACCGCCTTCCGAAGCACAGGGCACACATGACATTAGCAATAGCTACAGGGAATTCTTGAGAAAGGTCAAAATATTGTCCATCTATACTTTGCTGCAGAAATATCTGCACCAGCTGCATGGCCTCGGCTATGATGTGCTGCTCAAAGGCTTTCTTAGTTTCACTGTTAGCGGAGGAAAATGCTCGGAGGCTGGATTGGGCAAGTTTCCTATGTACTTTCCACTGTTTAGTGTAATTAGTAAAAGCCATACTTCTTCCTCCAGAAACAAATTGGAAGGATACGAAGTTGGGTCTGCCTGCGAACTCTGCACTGTGCTGAATGAGAGCCTGACGGATGGCCCTCTCCCCGTTCAGGACCACGATGTCACTGCAGCCCAGGCGGATCTGGTACACGTTCCCATACTTCTTGGCCAGTCTGGCGAAGGTGATGTGAGGCATCTGTCCCAGCTGCATGGCATTGCCCACCACCGGCCAGGCAAAGGGTCCAGGGAGTCTTCTCTTGAGCCGGAAGTTCTTCACCCACAGACAGGCTTCCAGACAGAAGAGGAACACAAACGTGGCCACTAGAGCAGGCTGGACCTGTCCACTCCATTCTCTGATGAGGCTGCTGCTCTTCAGTCCAAACTCACTGTCCATTGTGGACACTGTTCGCGCAAAACACTCTACCTTTATCAGTTACTGCATATGGTACAGAAAAAAAAGTATATTAAAAAAGCGAACCTATTTTTTTATTTTAAATTAAAAGAATAGAATCCTGCATAAAATGTGTTAGTTAAGTCTTTCTCAAGTTTAAAGGTATAAGTGCTTGCCTTTGCCTCTCCTCACTTCTTATATATTTAGCAGCTGTGGGCAGGGCTCAAGATAACTTTCATACTCCTCCCATTGTGGTAGTGCAGCAAACCCCTCCACATGATCTCCGCTGGCGCTGGTGTTGGAGCCGCGCGCCTGCCGTGTGCGCGTGCAGAGCCGCGGGGGAATGTGCGTCAGCACGCACACGCACATACTCGCACGCACTTGCACGCACTCACACGCACGGACAAACTCCGTCTTCATCATTAAAGCACTTTTGAAAAGAGACAGTGCGCGGTTTCTAAATATTGATTTTGACGCCTTTCATTTTTCTGGAAACGTAATTGTTGTGTTTATAATTCCACTCGAATTGAGTGGAACAAAAACGTCACTTTTACACTCCACGTGAAATGCATATTGATATTAACGCATCTTTAATCCGGTCTTGGGCTTTAGAAAAAATCAACAGATATCAGTCATTACTATTGACACATGTTCATATTTTATTGGCAATATTTCAAAGCATTGTACATGAGCATATTTTATTAATTCTATGATTGCATTGATTTGGACAAGTTTGCGTTACTAAACACGTTTACTTTAAAATAGAAATACCAATTGTATTACACCTAAAATCCTCCACAATTGTTTAGAATCAATGTCAAATTAAATAGTAGCCGTGTGCACAGATGAAGCATGTGCAGTTGAAATGAAAGGTACAGGCCCTGATGCACTGCATGTGTGTGTTTGCTTGTGAAGTGTTGCATAATGAGTGTCTTTAGATATGTGTAACACTCACTGCAGACCTCATTCTCTTCCTTTTGTCCTGTAATCTAAATAAATGTTTGAACTGCTGCTCTAACAACATGCTTACATTTTTACACGGGTTCAGACCACAACCATACATGGTCTCACAGCTCAAATTCATGCCCAAACTGTAAAAATAAACAGAAAGGAAACAATAAAATCCAAATACTTTACAGTCATGTACTTTTTATACCCCATAGAGCTGTTTGTCTGAGAAATGCGGTGTGGCTGAGCACCAAAGCCTCTAGAGTGATTCTTGGTTAACCAGAAACAAACCAAGTCTTCCAATCCACTGTGACGGCTGTGGGGAAGGCTGTTTCTTCTCTTTCCCCTGGCATCCTCCAGAGTCCACCCCTCACCTCCCATTCGCACCACCTTGTGTGTGTGCCCGCTGCCCGTACACATGTAGCCAATGGCATTCACATCATGCTAATTAAGGCCAGGTTTGTGGTGGGACACGGGGAGGAAGAGAGGGGGCCGTGGTGCGTGTGGCTGCTGTGTTTACCCCCCCCCCTGGGTAACCTGGCTGTGAACGGTATGCCATGACCCCAGGATGACTCTGGGGTGTTGGAGAGGGGGTCCTGGGTGTGCAGACGGACAGGCGGGTGGGTGCTCCCCTCTCCCAATGGTAGACAGCCTGAGCTCTGGCTCTGGAGCTAATCATTGTTTACTAGTCTCATTTCCACTTCTCTGTGAGCTACTGTCACGCACAGCACCGACAGGAGGAAGGAAGAGGGGTGTGCTGGAGGGGTCCCACAGGCAGAGGGGGGGCTGCTGAGGAACAGATGAGATGGAAGAGAACAACCTATTCTGCAATACTTTTTCTGGTTGTATTTGGAAAAAAAAAACAATCTATGAACACATGCTGTATTATTGGGCAACTTTTGTTTTTTCAAAATTGTGGAACACCTCAGGGCCTGGAATAAACTTCAGGAAGTGAAACTATAGGCACAAACCACATTCCATGCTTAAAGCTGGGGTACCTAACTGTCCCATAACAGTTTTGTTTGTAGTAAAATAAAAAAATCAGACCACAACATGAGAAAACCAAGCTCTAAAGATAATCAAGGACTCTTCTGGCCACCCTGGAAAAGCCTTGTTCCAGCTTCTTCCCTTTGCCAGAAGATATTGTTCGCTGAGAGGCAGGACATCTCTCATTGCTAATAACTTTTTTATGATGTGATCAGTTTAAACAGGGAACTTTAATGCATTTTATTGAAACTGTTCTAGTTGATTCTAAATAACAATTATTTCCAGCGCTTCAATGTTCTTTACTTCTGTACTTGCATACCTTGTTTTGTGCACACTGGGGACCTTTTATCTCTTTCTGACTGTTGCACTGAGCCAAAGCAATTTCCAAGTCTGTGACTTCCTGTTACTTACGTGGAAATAAAAATGATTCTGATTCTGATTCTGAATTTGCAAATGTAATTCAATGTGGTATTTACTCCAAATGCCATAGAACCTGAATCTGAATCAGAAAGAGCTCAGTATTAAATGGTGAGACTGATTATCTTACTTAGATCAATTTTGTTGTGGTTTAAAAGTTAGCCTGTAAGCTATAAATCAAAATAATCTCTAAAATATATATATGCTACACAATACTGAAAAATACAGTTAAAATAGCAATAGTCATTTCTTTAGAACAATAAGTCTAATAGAAAAATTCTGACCATGCAACTTTAAACAGTGAAGAAAGAAGGGATAAAGTTTGTGGAGACAATAAGAATGTCTCAAAGGCGCAGGAGGTGACCACAGGACACTGTTGGTTTGGAATAGTTGTGTTGCTGAGACAGTCGGTGCTGGCCAAACCACACTCCCAAGAAATGCATGGAGACTTGTCACTGTCTCGACCACGAGAAGCCAAGGACCTGCTCTGGGCTGGCCCTTTTTTTTTTCATCTACTAAATACATTTTGCATGGTGCTCTGTGTACTGGGGGCAGCTCTGACTGCCACCCCCCCAACCCAGAAATGGATTAAGGGGAAGAAAATGGATGGATGGAAATACATTTCTAACATTTGCTTTACTTGTTTGTTTACTGAACACGTAATGCTGCGTGATCCATAAGCATTTAATTCAAATAGTTTATTGTCAGACAAGAAATTTACATTATAAAATCCTTGGTTCACTGCTGAATTTTCTAACTGTCATATAGGAGCACAAAATTAATTTCCACAAACCTTTTAAAAGCTCTAACAGGTTGCCACCTTATTTGTTGTGACCATATCATACTCATACTCCTCTTGTCCAGTTCATATAAAAGGTGCAGTTCTCCAAACGACCTGCAGATGGCGAACCTTTCAATTCTTTTAGTGCATCCACAGCACTGATGCAGATGGTTTAAAGTGTTTCTTGAGGTGAAAAACTCATCTGGACTCACACACTAGAACTACCACTGCAGATTTGCCACAGTTTCTGAAAATGTAATTCCTACAGCTTCTATGGGAGAGGGGGAAAGGAAAAACCATGGATTGTCTTGACGAATCGTCATGGCTACAAAAAAAATGTAAAAGGCAATACGCCGTTTGTGCAAGTAGCAAAAAGAATAGAATAGAAATAGACAAAAGATGCAAAGGTCTTGGATCGTGTCACGACATAAGTTATGTTATTGTTGGATCACAGCGAACGTAATAGCTAGCTCCTCCCAGTGTGTACCACAGCGCCAGCAGCACGTTGGCTTCGACCAATCAGAAAACCAAACCATCATGTTGAAAAGTATCTGTTGCATCTATTATAACGACCAGCTCAGTTTAAACATAACCGCTCAAAAATTCTTACAAGCCCCAACATTCACTTACCGTGCCTTTGCAGCAAGAAGGTCCCCCTGGGTTCGAATCCCAGTCAGAACAGAACCTTTATGAGTGGAGTGGGCACGTACTCCCTGTGTCTGCATAGGTTTCCTCCAGGTGCTCCGGTTTCCCCCACCACTAAAAACATGCACAATAATCTGGATGTGTTGAGTGAGTGAGTGGTTGGTGTTTGGTCGGAGGCTTTGATGCACCAGTGTGTTTTTTGTGTGGAGAAAATGGAACAATATATGAACTCCAAACATTGTAAAGTGCTTTGGCTAACCCTGGTCTGTAAAAATACGCCATAAAAATAAAGATACACTTACTGCTTACAATGAAATTCATCATTCCCATAACTCCACGGTACTATTTCCCTGGTTTGTTATTATAAGTTATTGTTTATTTACACGGATCAATGTTCTGATGTATTTGCAGCAGAAGTGGCTCAGAAGATGAGAAGCGGAGTTTGCGTGCTGTGGTGGTCTGGCGTGCCCAGTCACTGAACTCCAGTTTCCCCAGAGAGAAGATGGTGGGGCCCGCAACTAAGGGATTCAAATGAGACTGAAGGAAGGCACATCAGCAGAAATGTCTTCCAGATGACACTTGTACAGAGCTCATCAGACCATGTGAGACAGTACAGCACCGCTCATCACTCCTCTGAGGCACACACACACATTTATACATCATAATGTGTGTAAATATTTCAGAAAATGTGTTGTGTGCTGATGGGTGTCTGCAAAAGTGATGAAAAATACGTGAAGAATTCCTCAAGTTTGGCAAACAAAATCCTAATTTGAGCACATTTTAAAACAAGAATTGCCAATGGGACAAGCAAAAATGATCTAGAGGCAAGAAATGTCTCCCGTGGATTTTGAAAATAAAGCTCAGTTCTGGAAATAGGACTAAATGGCTTTGTCCTATTGGCAAATCTTGTTTTAAGATAGTCAGAATGTGTTCAAATTAAGATAAAAAGCTGTGAATGTGTTTTTTAAAATCATTGCAATTCCCATGTTTGATATGGTTTGATTTTCTGATCTGTGTTGGCGAATCAACAGCTTTGTAGAGTCCTTTGAGATAACTACTGTTGTGATTTAGGGCAACACAAAAACAAATTGAATGGAATTGCTGTAGATTGATGTACAGTATGTACAGTAGGTGTATGAAGAAGAGTATCCGTGACTTTAACTGCATAGAACCCACTTTGAAATGTCTGCAGCCTGGATAGATCAGAGTGCTCTTCTCGTTGTGTAATTGGGCGGATAATGTTCCGTGATTCCCTCTTTTTTTGCACCTCCATCTGTTCCGCTTGAGCAGCTCATTGTACTTTCAGTCTCGTGAAAATGAAGCCGGGTCAGAAAGAGGTTGGGTTAGCCCTCTCTGCTGACGCTCCAGCGGGACAGTCCTGGAGCACCGATCCTTTGCTAATCTGTATAATGTAATCAACCCAATATGGCAGTCACCAGCAGGACAGGAATGATAGAAAAACCATGTTGTATTTAAGAATTTGAATGCTGTAGTAAAGTTCAGTTATTTCAGCAATTAAATGTATTCTGTGAAACCAATACATATACAGACTCATTACATGCAAAGTGACATATACCAAGCCTTTGTTATCATTTTGACGATCAAAATTTTGTTTTATTTAGGTTGTTTTTAAAATAAGTTCTGAGCCATAATTATTGACCTTCTAACAAATAAGGATGACTTTCTAACAAATAAAGGATGTAACTCAGTCTGAATGTCACATTAGCTTGACATTAGTTGAATTTCAGAAGTAAATTGACTTTTGAACGATATTCTAAGTTTCAAAGTTTTAACTGTGCAGCCACCTGTGCGTCTCATTTTCCATATGTACTTTTAAAATCTATATGTGTTATTTTAGCAGGGCACTTACTGAAGATAAAGTGTATATAGGTATAACATGTCTCCCACTCTGCACTGTGGGCCTAAGTGTTTGTGCATGTGTGTAAAAGGCCTGGAAGAAGGATCGGAGTTCTTTCTTTACTTTAATGACTGTGGAAGACACTTGTGCCGTGAGAGCTGAGCACAGGTGACTTGAGGAGTTCAGATGGAATCCTTTTACTTTCACAGACAGAAGTATCCAGTCAATTGCTTTATACAACTCGACTTGACCTGCGATGATGTTCTTTCACTATTGCTTCACGTTTCAGTCATATATTGATGTAAACCATTTGCAGCTATACTGTTTGGCAAAGGTTGCATGGTTGAAAAAAGGAATTTCATGCACACATGCAACAAGATTCTATCCGGACTTAATTTATTTATATGGGCCTGTCTGTAAGTGCAACACTAGATTTGTCTATATAAGGCCAGTTCTTTGAGCACTGAACACATTTATGAGGGAATGTAAACACTTGCTGTTAGCAGACCATCATGCCCTTCAGCTTTTCTTCTATTTGATGATTCGTGTCCTAAAAAACAAATACTATAATAACCAAACAAAACATTTGGTGTGTATTAGGGTTAGTATCTATTGTAAAACTATAGATGTTGTAGATTAAATACTTCATGATGAGCGTGACCGATATAGCTGGAGCACCCTTTGTGTTTTGGATCTCACACATTTTGAGCTTTGAGGTCCTTTCTTGGCTCTACAGACAAGATGATTCGCCTTTTCCTCCCATTTGATATGCTTTGGTAATTCATTGAAATGACCATATAGTCTGCCAAGAAGCTAAAGCAGATGTGAGACAACCAGCATTGGAAAAGGCAAATTCATAGACACCAGTTGTGGTTTTGTTGAAATTGTAATGCATGACAACAAATGTGAAATGTGAGAGCTGGCTCCTTCTCCTCAGGTTCCTGTGGAGCTGGACCAGACACAAACAGACTTGAGTGAGAGCTTTATCCCCATAACATCCTCCCCTCACTCCTGGCCGAACCTTTAAAGGTGAAAAATTATGCAAAACTTCCATGTTACATTATTATTCCTCATCAAAAACAGATCTTCACGCAAAAATCAAGAACTTTTGGCACA